CTATCCGAGGATCGCAAGCGTGTGAGATGGGAAGACACCCGCCAGCCCGTACCCAACAACCCCAAGCGTTTCGACTCGTCTCGCTGTGTCCTGGGCTGCGAGGGTTTCAGCATGGGGAGGCATTACTGGGAGGTGGAGGTGGGCGATGGGGAAGCCTGGGCTGTCGGGGTGGCCAAGGAGTCGGTGAGGAGGAAGGGACGGATCAGCGTCAACCCCGAGGTGGGGATCTGGGCGGTGGGGCAGTGTGGGAGCCAGTACCAGGCTCTCACCTCTCCTACCATCCCCATCTCCCTGCTCGCTGCCCCCAAAGTGATTGGGATTTACCTGGACTATGAGGCGGGGCGAGTGGCCTTCTTCGACTCCAATAATGAGGCACCGATCTTCACCTACCCCCCAACATCCTTTGCGGGGGAGCAAATCCTCCCCCTGCTTTGCCTGGGGAGAGGGTGCCAGTTCACACTCTTGCCCTGATGCCCCCCCCACCACCACCATGGGACAGCATCTGCTCCAGTCTCACTCGCTCGGGTCTGGGGAGACCGCAGGGGCTCATCGCCCCCGAGATGCCTTTTGGGAGCCTGAAGAATGAGCTGTCCAGGATGGAAAATTCTCTTTTCTGATCATTTATGTCAGCAAGAAGCATTGGTTGGTTCAGAGCTTGTGGAGCACGGGGGCTGCTTTGCTGCCCCCCCAAAATGCGTTGCTCTGTCATCGGGTGGCTTTGCCCGCGACGCTGCCCTGGTGCATCCATGCCCATAAACCCCTTCCAAAAACCTCTCTGTTGGAGGAGAGGATTAGAACTAAGCCAAATATGCACGGATCCGGCTCTTCTCCCTCCATCCTCTCCAGTTGATGACACATCCCTGCTGCTTGCTGGATCCTTTTTTATTTTTGGCTCCCCGAGCTTTCAGCTGTGTGACTGCACATAGGTGCTGTGGGCGATGATGCAAAAGCCTGAAGGACTTCACGATGGTTGAAGCCATTTTGAAGGTTTTATGCGATCTCTGACAAGGTGGTAATAAATTAATCCAAAGGTGAGAGAGGCAAGACCTGCTCTGGTGGAGTTCCTCATCCTCCTTGAACTGGGGAGCCC